GTGGGTGGATTTTCCCATTCTCTGGGCATGTCTACATGTGTATTTATGTATGTCTAAACATAATGCACCTTTGCTTAAAGTGCATTAAGGCAGTTTAGGTGCATGTCTACATATAAACATGCTAATGTCATATTAGCATATGTACAGACACGGTAATGCACATCAACATGGTGTCTATCCATTGACACACACTGTGTTAATGCGCATTAGTGTGTGTACTTGTGCGCTAATGCACCTTAGCTATTCACGCCTAAATTTGATATTTGCTTTATGCAGGTATCAAATTTAGGCTCACATAGCAAATCTCCATTTTAAAGGCGCATTAAGAGTATGCACATGTAGCCGTATGCATGTGTACACATGCCCTTAAAAGGGGTGATTTTAGGCTAAGCCTGCTTAAAAGAGGCGTGTGCCCTCTGTAGACCAGAATGCAAGCAGGGCAGTTAAAATAAATCCAAACTCCTGTGTTGCCAGGAGAGTCTAGGCAAAGTTGAGGATTTCTGATTTCTACTCCTACAGTGAAGTGTCAGACTTCAATCAATAACTAGGCCTGTATATATAGAGATGGATATTTTTGGTTCACGGTAATTTGGCTGCCAAATACAAAATTGCCTCCATAGTTATTCTTTGTCTGGAATGTGTATGAACTGGAACAATGTATAGAGCCATCTAAGTTTTTTTCCTGGAAAATTAGCAAAACAACAATTATATACTGATTATAGTAGAGGAATCTAGGCATGTTATCAAGATGTGGCATGACAAGTTCACTAGACATATCCTTTTCCAGCCTGTCCACAGGAGGGCAAAATCTGCATGAGGTAAAGAAAAGTTCATTGCAGATGCATCCCCTGAAGGGTAACTAATTCATTTATAAGAAATAAGGGGAGAACAAGGCAACATTTGTCTGTCTGTCTCTTGCCTCCCTCCCTCTCTCTCTCTCTTTCTCTCTCTCTTTCGTTCTTTCTTTCTTTCTCTCATTTAGAAAGGTTGCAGTATATTAAAGTATTTGTTGGTATGATGATGTGTACTCTGAATCAATAACTGAAACCTCATGTTACACAAAGGATACTAAGCAATTTTGTTTTATAATAGGTTGCAGAAAGTGACCACACTTTGCATTTCCTGCCCTTGTAGTGGTTTTTTGGCTTTCCAAGTCTCCATCAATATAAAGAAAGTAGGAGTCTAGTGAGATACAGCTTACCAAGTAGAGAACAGAGACATGAAAACTAACAATATGGTAGGAAGCAGACAGATCTATATCATAGTTCAGGTTACAGTCATGCCTCTGTCTCCATGTATGTTGTCACATTACCCCAAAGTGCTTAAGGTTCTGGATATTAAGAAGTTGCATTAGAGAAGCATAAGGGATGTATGAAGTTTAGCTGCGGGAAAGACCTTCATGTGGTTCTGTATTAGCACTTTGCCTAATTAGCTACCAAAAATCCCAAAATTAAAATGAAAGTTTCAATTAACAAAAGCAAAGAGATTCAGAATGAAATCTTTCATAGCATTCTTACCTTATCCTTTCAAACTACTGTAACTTACAGCACTTAGAATACACAGCCACATATGGCTAGATTTAAATTAAAGGTCAGGAAGGCACCATGACTCTGAAGCAAAATTCCTCTCTGATTCCCTTTTGTTCTAGGAGCTGGGAAAGAATATATTGTTTTGCTTTAAGCTTACACCAGTGGTAAGTTATGATGCCTCCATAGCATGCTAGATAGTTGATTGTGCAAGCAGGAAACAGAGCTAAGGTTCTGCCTACCTGCTGTGGATGGGAGATGTGCAGGTGTGCAGCTCCCATTCACATACTCTGATACTGAAGGAGGAAACACAGGCAGTGTTGGGACTGGAGGATTCTTAATTACCCAACCTATTCCACTGCATGATACTGGTGTCCAAATTATAATATGTGCCCAAGTGGTCCAGGACACTGTAAAATCATCCAGTGTTTGCACTTAGGCTAGCTTATCCCTCCCAGTCCAAAAAACCCCACAGTAGCAACAGTCTATATATAAACAGCAGAATAAGCTGAAAAATATAAAACAAGCTTTCATACTGATTTTCCACAGTTTTGTCATATAGACAGACAAGTAATATTTAAATATAAAATATGATGTTAAAAATATATCCTTTGTCTTTTTTTTCTCAGTAGGAGAATATGTATAAGACATTTCCATTGACATCATAATGGCTCAGAAGTCAAAGGAAATGTAGGAGACACTGATCCATTATAATATCAATGGGAATGTATGAAACACTGCAATTGGCATCCTTGATGGAAGTTTAGAAGTCACTTTATGCAAGTGCAAGATACATTCATTGACATGTATGGGATACTGCTATGCATGGACCTCATCCAATGTCATTTTGTATCATTACTGGATGTCTTTGATGGCAATGAAATTACATAACCTATAAAAGGGTTGTAAAAAGAGATCTACAGTGCATGTGTGGTAACCTCCCTTTCAAAAGTGCAACCTCTTAGCTCTTTCACACTGTTATTGTTTTTAATGACTAAAAGTCTGATCCTTACAGTACTTATGGGAGTAACTTTATTTGAATGAGTTGTCCCATTTTTTCCTTTAATAAAACTTCTCACATAAGGAAAACTACAGATGCATGAGTGAGTATAGGAACAGATCCTGTGAGACAATGATACAAAAGAATAAGTAATTAAAAAATAGTAACAGGAGAAACTAAGAAGGGGGGAAAATGAACAGCGAAATTTACCTGTGTTTTTATTGGTACTAATCAGAAAACTAAACCTAAAGTTACTTTTGGCTCATTTACACTTAACATATATATATCCAGATCATGTCATTAGAAAAAGAAATCCCATTTAGGCTGACAGTTTACATATCAAATTTCAGTGTACAGTGACTGTGAAAAACTACCACATGACAGGAGAAATGTCAGTCACAACAAATAGTCTACCTTTCATTTCACCTTCCGTGCACTCAAATTATATTATTGCACTATTAATGGTACTACAGTACTCTCTCTTAGTGGATCATTCCACTGTCTAATTGCCCATGCTGTTAAGCAAGTTTCCAATGATGAACCTATTTATGACTTCAAACTATAGTTTCTTGTTAGTCAATTCTCAACTGCTGTAAATAACCCATTTTGCCTCATTTATGTTATTAAATCTCAAATATTTTATCCTAAAAAAATGACGTTTTACCCAATCTGTACATCAAACTTCTATAACTTCTTATCACGGACTATAAATTCTGACTTTTTCATTGTGACAGACTAGTAATATTATTTTTAATACTGTATTTTATATTTAATCCCTTTTTGACCTTTTTTTACTGACAGAATCTTCAGTAAACTTTTCCATTGATGACGTAGTATCTTAGAAGTCAAATGAAGTGTAGAAACCTGAGCCATTATAATTTCAATGGATCTTGATGCAGTCCAGCAGTTGGCTTCATCAGTGGCCTTGGGTTTAAAGTAAATCATCTGGGTTTATTCCCAGCTTTGTAGTAAAAACACTCTAATGTTTGAAGAAGTCAACTAGACAAAATGTTTCAATCTTTGGGATTCCCAGTACTTCTGAAAGTCAAGCCACTTTTGCCTGAAATCTTAAATACTGTACATGCTTCCCAATTTGAGGCATCCAAATGTAAAAATCCTGGCAGTCTTCACTGTTTCTTCACTTCATTCTCTGTACGGTGAAGATAAAAAATAGCTCCTTAAACCGTGAGAATACTGTGAAGCCCCCAGATAATTTAGCAATGGACATCATAGAAATGCCTATTCCTAGGTAACTATGATTTTCCTTCATTAGTGTAACTTTTCTTTGAACTGTTTTTAAGATCTCCCTAGCATTTTGCAATTCAGATCTATTTTCTATGCTGCTGAAGTATCTTGGAGGTTGCTATAACATCTGCAAATCAGAACACAATTTTCTCAAGGAAAAAGTATCTCCCCTCACATTTCTCCTTGCTTTGATGTATCTTTCATATTTGCCTTTTGGTTATATGCAGTCAGTCTGTAAGCAAATAACCATTTTCAGTTTCCCTATAAAGTTTCTTTCTGAGATGTTTTGATGCAAAACTTTACATAAGTCTAGGCAAATTACTATATTACTTTGCACACCAAACCTTTCTCTCTATTTTTTTCCCCAAAGAAGACCTTCCAACTGCTGTAACTTAATGGACTTAATCATTGTTACTTATCACTCAATGTGCTTTCCTTTCCTAAGTATTTGACTGTTCGTGCCTTCATTATTTGAAGTTCACTTGGTGAAAGGAATTGTTCTTCTTATTCAGGCCACAGAACTGCAGTGCAGGTGATCCATGCCTTCCTTCTGGTTCATTTCTTACATAAGAAAGTGTGGCTCAGTGGATCCATGTTGCTTCTTTCCTGGTTTACAATTAACCAGACCCTAAAGTCTCACTGTTTGGGATGATGGGAAGTCCTTCTGCATCAGGACTTCAAGTTATGTAGCAAGCATTTGACACCCTTTGCAAACTTCACATAAACTCCTGAATCCTTACATGGAGCTTCACTAGTTTGGCTGCATTGTGGCTCTCTGCAGTCACAGAAGAGGGAGTGGGATTATAATCTTTTTTATAATTGATTATGTGCTATCTGTAATGTTGAGATGAGTTTCTTTGTTGGTGTCCTCCAAGAAATGGAAGTGCTGCTCTGCATGGCAGCTCTCCCAACACTAAAGGGGGAAAAAAAGCCAAGAACAAATTGTCTTGGCTGGCTATAAAAACACAAACTTGAAAATAGAAAAGTCCCCAATTTAAATCTGCTGTTTCTTTTACAGACCAGAAATATGATGAGCATCTTTTAAAGACTCTTGTTGCAAATTATTTTTACAATTATTTTCTACATTCAAGCTATTAGATATAATTCACCTTCTTATAAATAAAGACTAATGTTTGCAAGGACTCCTGCACCTGAAACAGATCATTTATTTTTAGTTGAAGCTTTTGTTTTAAAATAATCAAAAATGCATTACATATTACTTTGGTTTGGTTATGTAGATCAAATTCTCCTCTCTAGCTGAAATCCACAATTTGCTAGCAATTCTTGTCTCCAGGTCTCAGGAAAGGATCCATTCTTAAATATCTGAAACCAAATTAAACACAATACAGTGCAATTTGTTTCAGTTCTCATAGCCTATTGTAGTCTGTGATGTCTCACAGACATTTATAGCTTATACGTTCATTACCATTCTCCTAAAGTGGGATCTTGCATCCCTTTTCCAGGGTGTTAGGCTAGCTTTTTTTGTAAAACATAGAGCTATACAAAATAGAATTTGCAAGGTATTTTTAGACAGGAACACAGATATTAACTTAAGGTTCCTTGTTAAGCATTCTGTTGTGGAGAAGACTTTAGATATTAACTTTTAGGTTACAGATTCCTGGGTAACTGGTATGCCATCATAGCACATCCCATTAGCCCAGACAAATTATTCTGTAGGTATTCTATTGTTCGAATACATAAACAATTGTCATGGTAAACTATTATTGTGCAATCAGGTTTCATATAGTGATGTTTCATAGCCTTATTAATAAGGCAAGACAGTTTTAAGAATAATTTGTTACTCTGGATATCAAACCATCCATTTTTGTAATGTAAACTAAATGTAACAATGTAAAACAAATCTACAAAAATCTATCATGCTATATTTATGTATGTACCTTTCACATTATAGTATATTTTATGAGAGTTAACATCACATTACAGTTTGTTCTCTTTCTTTTGTACACTTTAACTGAAGAAGCTTGTAGTTTTTTGAAGAAAAAGGAACATGATCCATGTACAATAAGGAATTAGAGAAGTCGCACTCCAGGAGGGACCTAACAGGGAGTGAAACTGAGCAAAGGAATGAAAGGATGTTACCAGATGACCACTACCTACTTAGCTTGTATGACTGGCCTCTACACGTGCTCAGTTCCTGCCTTGGGGCAAGTTAAGATTTTGATTCCTATAACTGAACCTTCTTAATTGATGATGAACTAATCTGAGATTTTAAACTCTTGTATTAGTTGCTAGAATGGTCTCTTAGAGTAGAAGTGATCACTGTAAAACAGAACAGTTATGAGTACTGTAATTTAAACTTTTGGCTGCCCTGGTGTGTGGAGGGATAATAGGATATAGAATGGTAACACTGGCGATATTCCTCAGCTGTATACAGTACAGTGTGCTGTTACAAGACAGAAATGGGGTAGGGGAAAGCATAAAAAGATGCAATCAGAGTGAGCGATGTGATGTTTGCATTTTTGTTTGGTTTTTTCTGATTATTGAAATCCTTTTGGTGGAGGGGAGGGTTATGTTAGGAGGAAATTAGATGGAAAGGCCAAAGAAAGGGATCAGAGACAGGCAGGAGATGACAAGGTCTGGGGCAAACAGGCAATCAGCATATGGAAAAACATGTTCAGAGGAAGTTTGCGTGCACTGTACTGGTGAGAGTTCCTGGTGAGGATGCAGCTGAACATGTCCCACCCATCTGTGCTTGCTGATGTGCTCCAGACCTATGAATTTGCTCTGCAATTATCCCCTGAAGCTACTTTCAGGCTTGCTGGAGACCAAGGATTTGAGAGTAGACATGGAGGGCACAGAGGCCTCACTAGTATCTTCCTAGGGGCAGTGTGTGCCTGTGGGCATAAATACGATGTAGTTGGGGGTTGCTTAGCTCCATCCTTACCAGAACCTACTAAAATGTAGACAAGCCTAGTGAAAACTTCAGAACATAGGCTATCGTTAGTGTTGATCAGCCTCAGCTGTCCCCTCACTTTTAGCTCTTTTCCTTCAGTGAAGAGGTAGTTGCTTGAATTAGTTTCTCAGTGTGAGAGTCTGTCCATATCAAAATGTCCTGAATTGAATAATAATAAGTATCATGTCATTATAACTAATTTATCATAACAGTTAAATAACACTTATTGTAAAACCAGTTAATATGCTATGATAAAAGCTGAGAGTACTAGAAAACTCAAAGCCAACTCTCGTATGTTCATCTTTTGCAGCATGAATTAAGCACAGTGTGAAACTTAAATGGTCACTATTAAGTCCTTTATGCCAAATCACTAATCTACCATTAAAGTTTAATATTCTCATAGGGAATATAATTTCTATTCCAATTAAGTTTAAAACAAGCATTTCCCCTGGTTATACCTCATCCACATTGTGCTAAATATCCACTGTAAAAATTAAACTCATGAATTCATGATTTCTCTGAAATCTGCCCATAATTCTGTGCACTACCATGTAAAAGTGGGTGACATGTATATGTTCTATTATATGCTTCCAATGTCCCTTTGAAATAAAATCTTGGTATTGGAAGTATTTCTTTAAAATTAGAAATAAGGATTTTTCTTGAATTTCTAAATTCATGGTCCATTACATACCTGATCCAAACTCTGTTGAAGTCAATAGAAAAACTCCCACTGACTTTGTTGGAATCTGGATCCAGTTCTAAGGACCAACAAAAGACTTAGATGGCTAAGGCCAAAATTGAAATCTGAAAATAGTATCTTAACTTTGATGCCACCCAGGAGATGGAAAAACTCCATATGCACCTTTGTCTGAACTTCAAGATTCTCCAGGCACACAATGTTTGGCGTCTTTACATGTGGTCCAAGAGCCATTCTAATTAAAGTGCTCGCAGCATCTCTTGTATTTGGCATTCCACACTTCAAAATGGTGGCAGGGGTACTTTACTATAGCTTGTTTGATGAGGTTTAATTAAAGTGCCCCCCCCCCCCACACACACACACACACCATTTTGAAGTGTGGGGACGCTGAATATGAGACGCACAGGCTGCGGGACCATGCTAATTTGCACAGTCCAGCAGACTCGATTAATCAAGTCTGCTCCACTGCACTGTAATTACAGCACATTGGAGCAGTGTCCCCTCCCATGTACAGGCACCTGTGCCCAAAACTGCCTGGTCTTGACAGCACATATCAAGATCCAGAATTGATCATTCTTCCACCAATGTCCTTGAGGAGCTTGATCTGGTAGCATTGTAATGGATTCTAGTTCCTAATCCCAGGATTATTTACTTATTTATTTGTGTTTTGCTTTGAACTGCCCTAGGAGCAGGTAGCAAACCCCAGGACTCCTCTGGCCCAGGAGAGTGTTTAACCTCTAATCTACACAGTGACACTTCCACTTGTTTTTTCTCACTGATGTTCTTTTTCAGAGGAGCACAACTTCAACAGGCAGTGGGTAGTGTACCTCAGAGTACCTTGATGGTTAAGATACCTGGGATCTGGAACATACAGGTTTTAACGCACCCAGGGAGAGGATGGAGTTGACCTTGGGTTTCCCATTTTCTATGAGTGTTGTATAAAAGGGGGCTTCATTTCCTAACTTTTAAAAGAAGAATGACCCCAGCTCTGTTCCTTTTAAAGAAATTATATAAATACCTACCTTCAGCCAAGTTTCAAGTCTATGAGGGACCCCAGGGGTGAAAATATCTACTTGTAGCCCTGTCTAATGCACCCTAGACATAAGATTTAATTGCTCAGGAATTTATACTGGCTAACTAGGCAGTTGCCTGGTGACTTTAGGTAGACCCCTGATCAGCCTGCTGATATCTTGTGTTCCAAAGGTACTGAAATGTCCCCATGCATGTTATAGAAGACCTAAGCATCTAATACAGGATTTGCAATTTCGCTAACTTTTATGTGCCTCTACTAGTGATGGCTCTAGTTCCTGGAGCTAAATCACTAATGTTTCAGCTAAAAAAATTTCACCTACATTTATCTGTATCATTTGGTGAAAATGGGGTCTTGACTAACGTACTGAAGCTGCTATCATCATGATTTTCTCTAATTTTCCATATAACCCATTATTTTGCATTGACTTATCATGTAACTCAGTTGAAAAAAATATATTGCTGAAGGCTATAGGTGTTTCACTTCTGAAGCAGTACACGATGACCTTTAAAGTCCTCTTAATCAACCACAAGAGAGATGATAATGCTCATACAAAAAAACTCCAGTATTGATTTTAAGAACCTTTAAAATCCTCAAGATGCAGTTTATATGCCTGCATAGTTCAGTAGGTGTACCACAGTTCACTCTTTGGAATGTCTGCCAAATATTTACAGTTGCATGTTACATATGACCTTCCAAGGTGGTATTTCAAGGGAGGAAAAGTGGTCAGAAGCAAAAGAGTAGGCAAGCAAGGGATGGTCCAAAAGAAGGCAACACTCGTATATAATTTTTAGAGCCTCTTCAGTCCTGAAAGCCCAACCACAGTGACAATAGGAAGCACAGATACCATTTCTTCTCCTTAGAAGTCTCACACCCCTCCCACTAGTTAATTTTTTTTTTCACAGTTCTTAAAGGTTTTGCCATCAGCTTGTTCTTTAACTCACCTAGATGGTCTATGTTAGTTGTGGAAGAAATTCTTTTATGAAGACATTTCCAAGTAGTACTTGCATAATGACGTCGTCACTGGTAAAGAAACACAGTTTAAGATGAGTTAAGATTTACACATGCATTAATCCAAAATTGTGGAAGTCAGTCAGGTCTTTCTACTTATTTCAGGACACTTTACAGTAATCCTTAATCCAAGGATTAAACCTCTTTGATTATGTATAAATAATGCATTATTTACAAAAAATTACAGTCTTTAGAGAGAGATTTTTAAAATATATAGGCATCTAAATAAACTGATAGATGCATGTTGGGATTTTTCAAAGTGCCCTAATACACACTGATTTCAGCAGG